AATAAAATAATAATAATAATAATTATACAATATCGGAATAATAATCTAATAAAATAATAAACGGTTCTATAACAATATAAATTTTATAACAAATCAGGTGACTGATATATAACAGTATATATGATTGTTCATATTGTTTTTCTAATTTAAAATTATTCATATGTCATTTAATCAGATTATTAAATATTCATTTTAATCTTTTGAATATTTTCTAATCTGTTAAAAGTAGCCTATTTGATATAGTAGCAGTTTAAATTGATAAATTTGTAAAACAAAAGATTATTATATTAAAATCTAAAAATATTTATTGCTGCATTATTTGAATTAAAAAATTCAATATGTTGAATTTCTTAATTTATTATTATATATTATATATTTATAATGTTTTATACAACTACTTTAAACTAATTTTGGTTTTTTTTATTAGCATATTTCATCTCACAATATCTAATTTTATGACTGCTTTCTAGTGTTTGTAGTCAGTTCTTAAATATTGACTGACTAAGTCAATAAAATAAAAAATGACTTAGCTGGCTTAGTCTACTAAGTAATAATCATATAAAAATTAGATACCCGGAATGTAATTATAAACAATATAATTATAGTGATCATACCTGATGATTTTCACTACATGTATATATATCTGCCAAAAGATTGTATCTGTTGTGCTCAGATCAATTTTTGCCTCAGGTGATAACTGAGACACCTCAGGTATTGATCATTTGGCTGGCATTAACTGATTGACATTAATTGACCTAAACTATAACCTAATCTTTACTTTAACTTTAACTCTAATTCATGCCGATCGACACCTGAGGCAAGAATTGATTTAAATTATTAGAAGTTGACTAAGCTGGTTTTTGAAAAATCGACTGACTTAGCTGGCTAAGTTGACTAAGTCAACTAAAGTGCTATCAATTTAGATCACTACTGCTTTCATTATAATATGCATATTTAATACTTCGAGACTTAGTAGCAGAAAATAATTGTTGATTAACTTTAATACTATTAAGAATTCTTCATAATGTTAGTGAACATCTTTTTTGCCATTTTGATAAAGGATTTTTAATACTAAAATTTGAAACCTTTCTTTTTTTCATTTTATCAGTACTTGTTTCATCTAGAATTGTATTTTTAGATTCATGACAATCATTAAAAATTGATTGATCTTTTTTTTTTAAATTTTCAAGAATCTCGATTAACTTTTCATCTAAATTAAGTTCAACTACTTTGTTTACTATAGTTTTTGCAAAGCCAAATACTTTTGCAAATTATTGCTTACTATTCAAATATTGTAAAGCAATTTCTTGATCTTGCCTTGTTAATTCACTAGCTTCATTTGACTCTATGAATATCTATTTTTTAGAAACTTGTACTGTCAAATCACTTACATTATTAGCTATCAATCTGATAAAGTTCTAATTACTTAAATTAGTTTTGTATACTTCATCGTTAAACTAACTAGGAAAATGTGAAACGTTAAAGTCCGGAGCATAATAGTCATTCAGATAATTTTTTACGAGATCACCTGCCATATTGGGCTGATCCGTGTTGATCTGTTTATATATTTTGAAATGCTAATTGGCTTAATATCACGTGAGCGAAACCCGACACATACAAATTTTGGTCTATTGCTCTTTCAGTAAGTCTCCCGCTACGCTCCGGACAATAACAATTGATCATATTAATATGAAACTTGATACTTGCTATTATACACATTGTTTAAAAAAATGTCTACAAATCTAACCTAATATAGTAGACAATTGGTATATATATTTATAATTTTCACTTGCTAAAAGAAAGACAAATTGCAGTAGTGTATTATATTTCATATGTCAGACTTCTCATACTAAAATTAGTTGATTAGAAACTTCATTAAAAATATCATTTATATAAGCTTGTAGCAAATCAAAGACTTCTTTAATAAAATTTGTATTACATAAGATCTCATTATTAATTTACTTATTTGGTTCTATTTGTATTGTATAATACTATATAGTTATTGTATAGGGTTTCAAAAATGTGCATGTGGGTATCAAACGGTAGCAGGTGATTGGCTGCGTAGTAGCTAATCACATGTTGCCATTTGATATCCATATGCATATTTTTAATTCTATATAATAACAGTATTATCGTATAGTAGTTATTGATAACTATACTTTTATATCATATTCGTAATTATGTTATCAAATTAAACTACGCGAATACATATATTATATTTTTTCAATTATAATTTTTTTATGTAGATTATTTTAAAGACTGAAAAAAAAGATGATAAAACAGTGATAATGTAAACTATACAAATATGAGAATTTTTAGTATAATTATCAATAATATAGCTATACGATAAAAGAAACTATAGTTTATTTGTTTTCAGATTTTTTTTACTATTGGAGAAGTTATATAAGTGCAAAGTTCACTATCAATATCACAAAACACCCTATTATATATATTTGAAGATAAAATTAATAACATTAACTCCTTCTATATGATAAAGTTTTTGTTATATTTTTTTCTTTAAAAAATTGAGAAATTATTTTATAAAGATTATATAATATTATATATTTGCCATCTAAATCTTATTTAATTGCTCTATTAATACTTTCTATACAGCTCGTTGATTGCACCCAGCTGTAAAGCATTTGCTTGTAAAATATTTTGCTCATAATTTCTTATTTTTATATAAATGTTCTAAATATTTTCTTATTATAGAATAATCCTCAATTAACTTTTGATAATTATATTCAAAAGTTTCAGTATTAAGCTTATTACAACATTGATAGAATGTTTTTATAAAATTTTGATAATGTCTATATATTTGTTTTTTAAATTTTTAAATAAATTTTGGCCTATGTGCTATATACAGTTTAAATGTTTTGTTTAAAAATAAACTTAAACAATAGCAGCATCTATTGCAGAATCAGCATTAGTAATTATTACAGATAAATAAAGTCTAAGTGCTTATACTATAACCCTTAAACTCTATACATAAGACTCTATTGTTTTATTATCAAAAAATGCTTATACAACTGGCCATATATTAAAATTATTATCAACAATCATAAAAATTGAAAGTGGAAGCCATAAATATTAGTTTCAATAGTGTTATCATGAACAACAACTGAACAATACTGAATATATAATTCAGTTTGGTGCAGCTCTATCTATAATAAATGAGTAAGAGCTTGGATATTAGATCTACTTGATATTCTATAATCCACCTAGTTTTTTTGGTCTTTTTTCTAACAAATGATTAAGAATGTTATATGTATCATCTTTTATTAATATCTTTTTATAATGAACTATATAAATTGTATTATATAAATCTCTCTTAATAATTTGATGTTAATATTTAGTTATAAGTATGCAATATTGTTGAACTGCTTTGAGATTTCCTTCAGCTGTTCAAAATCGAATATCTGCTAGCATCTCCTCTATTAATTTTTGAAATTGTGATAAAAATTGATTTACTTATAGGTTAAGATTGTGACCATTATGCCTATTTACAAATGTTGTTACTTTATAAATCCTTTCACTTTTCTTACTAATATTAATATACTATAGACAGTTAACTCTACTTGAGGTTTTATCTTGTTGATGATTAAGATCAGCTGTTTTGTTTGATTTGTATATATCTGAATGTTTATATAAAAAAGTTCTTTTTATTGGATCTTCTTCATTTTGTTTTTTTTTTTGAATGACCTTTTCAATATCCAAACTTTTTTTGTCTACAATAATCATTAAAAAATATATAAACTTTCTTTTATGATACAAATAGTTTTTCAACTCTAAGATCATCATCATCAACTTTATTGCTATTCAGCCAAGACCTCGAAGAACTCTAATATAACTTATATTTGAGTTTGTATAATATCAGCCAAATAAATGTATAAAATAGATCAAAATTTAAAAATTTACTATATAAAAATGCAACGTTTGATAAATTTCTATACAAAATTTTTTTTTAGTAACATCTGAGTTATATCAGAGTTTTTCAAAATTCTATCCAGCCAATAGTCACTATCTATCATATTTTTACTAGTATTATCTAAATGTTTAAAATCATCTAATTTTGTATTAAAATTATTAACATTATTATTTAATAGGTCATTAATATCATTATTACCTATTTGTTTATTATCACTTACTCATTTATTATCACTTATTTATTCACTATTGCTCATTCATTCATCATTGCTCATTTGTTCATCATCACTCATTCATTTATCATCACTTACCCATTCATCATTGCTCATTAGTTCACAATCACTTGTTAGTTTACTATCACTTGTTTGTTTACCATCACTTATTTGTTCACCATCACTTGTTTGTTTATCATCACTTGTTTGTTCACTATTATTTGTTCATTCATCAATATTCAACAAATCATTAATATTATAAAAATCATTAACAAATTATTCATCAACATCTGACAAATAATTTTCTTTAGTATTACCAGAATCATTAGCTAGTTATTATCAACACCAAACAGATAATTCAAATAATTATTATTATTATCTCTAACTTGTTCATCTGATTCATTAACACCCAACAAATAATTCAAATAATTGTTATTACAATCTTTATCTTGCTCATCATTATATAATAAATAATTTTCATTATCTATTCATTTACTAGTTCTATCAATTTGTTCACCAGCCAATAAATAGTTAGAATTACTTATTTGGTCATTAATATTTAAACAAGTATTCACATCATTAATATTCAAGCAAGTATTTGTATCATTAATATACAAGCAAGTATATGCATCATGAATATTCAAGAAATTTATTTGTATCATTAAAATTTAAATAACTATTTATTTGTTTATATGAGCTTTTAATAGAATTTTGAGTGTTATTGTTATTCATAATTATATGGGAAGTTATAGTAGTTTCTTATAAGTTATGTAAAACAGTAAACTTACAACTCAAAAAAAAAAACTACACATAATTTAAAAAAAAAACTATATACAATTTGAAAACAAGCCAAATATAACTTTGAAAAAAAAGCTAAATATCAGCAAAATTTTGTAGTAAAGTATAATTAACTGCTTAGAAGATATAACTGATTATACTTTACTGCAAAATTTCACTTATACTAAACCACCTAGGATATAATTATTATATATTTTTTCATGTTATTATAATTTTCTTTATTATAATAATATTTTTGTTTTTCTATACAATTAATATAAATTCTATACTTTTTGAGATCTGATTAAATAAAAGTTTCTAAAAATAAAATATATAATAACTTATTTTCTATTATAAAAACTTATACACATATTGTTTTGATTACTTATATACTGTCTTAAGCATTATTTTGTCAAGCTATAGTTGTTATTATAAGTTCACTACTGTATATTGCTGAAAATAAGCTACTATTTTTAGCCAAAAAGTTGTACAAAAATTTTGTGAATAGTTTATTATTAGATAAAAATGTTTTATGCTAATTGCAAAAAAGTTACTGAAAAATCTAGGTGATACATGTTTGTGGGACATGGACCGCTCTAGTAGATTTACCACGAGGATAAATTAGTCCTAAGGGCCTTAGCGGCAGTTCCTCTTTGGGGAGAATATCCGATGGCACTAAGTTGATCAGAGGGTTTAATTGGCTAACTCAAGTAATAGTGGATTATAGGTACGACATCTAGTGTAGTATTTAGTAATAGGGAACTACTTAATTAGGCGCTCAAAAGACGCAGATATGACTAGTTTGTATTCTCGTTAATGTAACAAAGTCAGGGGTGGTCTTGTGGCTGCCCTGACATTCGCAACCAAAGTTAATAAAACGTGCCAGACCCCCAAGTGGTAACTTTTTTGCAATTAGCATAAAACATTTTTATCTAATAATAAACTATTCACAAAATTTTTGTACAACTTTTTGGCTAAAAATAGTAGCTTATTTTCAGCAATATACAGTAGTGAACTTATAATAACAACTATAGCTTGACAAAATAATGCTTAAGACAGTATATAAGTAATCAAAACAATATGTGTATAAGTTTTTATAATAGAAAATAAGTTATTATATATTTTATTTTTAGAAACTTTTATTTAATCAGATCTCAAAAAGTATAGAATTTATATTAATTGTATAGAAAAACAAAAATATTATTATAATAAAGAAAATTATAATAACATGAAAAAATATATAATAATTATATCCTAGGTGGTTTAGTATAAGTGAAATTTTGCAGTAAAGTATAATCAGTTATATCTTCTAAGCAGTTAATTATACTTTACTACAAAATTTTGCTGATATTTAGCTTTTTTTTCAAAGTTATATTTGGCTTGTTTTCAAATTGTATATAGTTTTTTTTTTAAATTATGTGTAGTTTTTTTTTTTGAGTTGTAAGTTTACTGTTTTACATAACTTATAAGAAACTACTATAACTTCCCATATAATTATGAATAACAATAACACTCAAAATTCTATTAAAAGCTCATATAAACAAATAAATAGTTATTTAAATTTTAATGATACAAATAAATTTCTTGAATATTCATGATGCATATACTTGCTTGTATATTAATGATACAAATACTTGCTTGAATATTAATGATGTGAATACTTGTTTAAATATTAATGACCAAATAAGTAATTCTAACTATTTATTGGCTGGTGAACAAATTGATAGAACTAGTAAATGAATAGATAATGAAAATTATTTATTATATAATGATGAGCAAGATAAAGATTGTAATAACAATTATTTGAATTATTTGTTGGGTGTTAATGAATCAGATGAACAAGTTAGAGATAATAATAATAATTATTTGAATTATCTGTTTGGTGTTGATAATAACTAGCTAATGATTCTGGTAATACTAAAGAAAATTATTTGTCAGATGTTGATGAATAATTTGTTAATGATTTTTATAATATTAATGATTTGTTGAATATTGATGAATGAACAAATAATAGTGAACAAACAAGTGATGATAAACAAACAAGTGATGGTGAACAAATAAGTGATGGTAAACAAACAAGTGATAGTAAACTAACAAGTGATTGTGAACTAATGAGCAATGATGAATGGGTAAGTGATGATAAATGAATGAGTGATGATGAACAAATGAGCAATGATGAATGAATGAGCAATAGTGAATAAATAAGTGATAATAAATGAGTAAGTGATAATAAACAAATAGGTAATAATGATATTAATGACCTATTAAATAATAATGTTAATAATTTTAATACAAAATTAGATGATTTTAAACATTTAGATAATACTAGTAAAAATATGATAGATAGTGACTATTGGCTGGATAGAATTTTGAAAAACTCTGATATAACTCAGATGTTACTAAAAAAAAATTTTGTATAGAAATTTATCAAACGTTGCATTTTTATATAGTAAATTTTTAAATTTTGATCTATTTTATACATTTATTTGGCTGATATTATACAAACTCAAATATAAGTTATATTAGAGTTCTTCGAGGTCTTGGCTGAATAGCAATAAAGTTGATGATGATGATCTTAGAGTTGAAAAACTATTTGTATCATAAAAGAAAGTTTATATATTTTTTAATGATTATTGTAGACAAAAAAAGTTTGGATATTGAAAAGGTCATTCAAAAAAAAAAACAAAATGAAGAAGATCCAATAAAAAGAACTTTTTTATATAAACATTCAGATATATACAAATCAAACAAAACAGCTGATCTTAATCATCAACAAGATAAAACCTCAAGTAGAGTTAACTGTCTATAGTATATTAATATTAGTAAGAAAAGTGAAAGGATTTATAAAGTAACAACATTTGTAAATAGGCATAATGGTCACAATCTTAACCTATAAGTAAATCAATTTTTATCACAATTTCAAAAATTAATAGAGGAGATGCTAGCAGATATTCGATTTTGAACAGCTGAAGGAAATCTCAAAGCAGTTCAACAATATTGCATACTTATAACTAAATATTAACATCAAATTATTAAGAGAGATTTATATAATACAATTTATATAGTTCATTATAAAAAGATATTAATAAAAGATGATACATATAACATTCTTAATCATTTGTTAGAAAAAAGACCAAAAAAACTAGGTGGATTATAGAATATCAAGTAGATCTAATATCCAAGCTCTTACTCATTTATTATAGATAGAGCTGCACCAAACTGAATTATATATTCAGTATTGTTCAGTTGTTGTTCATGATAACACTATTGAAACTAATATTTATGGCTTCCACTTTCAATTTTTATGATTGTTGATAATAATTTTAATATATGGCCAGTTGTATAAGCATTTTTTGATAATAAAACAATAGAGTCTTATGTATAGAGTTTAAGGGTTATAGTATAAGCACTTAGACTTTATTTATCTGTAATAATTACTAATGCTGATTCTGCAATAGATGCTGCTATTGTTTAAGTTTATTTTTAAACAAAACATTTAAACTGTATATAGCACATAGGCCAAAATTTATTTAAAAATTTAAAAAACAAATATATAGACATTATCAAAATTTTATAAAAACATTCTATCAATGTTGTAATAAGCTTAATACTGAAACTTTTGAATATAATTATCAAAAGTTAATTGAGGATTATTCTATAATAAGAAAATATTTAGAACATTTATATAAAAATAAGAAATTATGAGCAAAATATTTTACAAGCAAATGCTTTACAGCTGGGTGCAATCAACGAGCTGTATAGAAAGTATTAATAGAGCAATTAAATAAGATTTAGATGGCAAATATATAATATTATATAATCTTTATAAAATAATTTCTCAATTTTTTAAAGAAAAAAATATAACAAAAACTTTATCATATAGAAGGAGTTAATGTTATTAATTTTATCTTCAAATATATATAATAGGGTGTTTTGTGATATTGATAGTGAACTTTGCACTTATATAACTTCTCCAATAGTAAAAAAAATCTGAAAACAAATAAACTATAGTTTCTTTTATCGTATAGCTATATTATTGATAATTATACTAAAAATTCTCATATTTGTATAGTTTACATTATCACTGTTTTATCATCTTTTTTTTCAGTCTTTAAAATAATCTACATAAAAAAATTATAATTGAAAAAATATAATATATGTATTCGCGTAGTTTAATTTGATAACATAATTACGAATATGATATAAAAGTATAGTTATCAATAACTACTATACGATAATACTGTTATTATATAGAATTAAAAATATGCATATGGATATCAAATGGCAACATGTGATTAGCTACTACGCAGCCAATCACCTGCTACCGTTTGATACCCACATGCACATTTTTGAAACCCTATACAATAACTATATAGTATTATACAATACAAATAGAACCAAATAAGTAAATTAATAATGAGATCTTATGTAATACAAATTTTATTAAAGAAGTCTTTGATTTGCTACAAGCTTATATAAATGATATTTTTAATGAAGTTTCTAATCAACTAATTTTAGTATGAGAAGTCTGACATATGAAATATAATACACTACTGCAATTTGTCTTTCTTTTAGCAAGTGAAAATTATAAATATATATACCAATTGTCTACTATATTAGGTTAGATTTGTAGACATTTTTTTAAACAATGTGTATAATAGCAAGTATCAAGTTTCATATTAATATGATCAATTGTTATTGTCCGGAGCGTAGCGGGAGACTTACTGAAAGAGCAATAGACCAAAATTTGTATGTGTCGGGTTTCGCTCACGTGATATTAAGCCAATTAGCATTTCAAAATATATAAACAGATCAACACGGATCAGCCCAATATGGCAGGTGATCTCGTAAAAAATTATCTGAATGACTATTATGCTCCGGACTTTAACGTTTCACATTTTCCTAGTTAGTTTAACGATGAAGTATACAAAACTAATTTAAGTAATTAGAACTTT